CGTCGGAGGCGGAACAAAGGCAGGCTGAGGGGAGGGACTGGGGGACCTGGGCGCACCAATGGGGACATCAGAAACCATCCTGGCCCGAAATTAACCCATCGAATGTAAATAAGCCATCCATAATGTTCCATAGTTTCAGCAGGAAATTTTTGGAATGTAACATAGTGTAACTCATACATAACATGATCCAATATCATCATGAATCATTTGCCGTAAACTCAGTAGAAACCCCCCAATTTTACCATAGGGAGGAGTTCAACCATCCATTTCAAGTGGAGGGGTATGGCAGTGTGCTTGCCACTTGACCTTCATTATCTTTGGTTTCTCCCCTCCTTGTTGCTATAATTCACCTGTAATGGATTGGAGCAATCCTGCAAAATGTGGCTTTATGATGTTTGATATACACAGTATTACACAGTTTACATAGTAAGAAGTACTTCCATTTTAGGGTGGCAAACCGACTCCAACTAGAAGTGGTAGACACCCCTATCGGGGAACGTATCAGTTAATGAGCTGTGTCCTCCACCCATTTGGGTGATGTTCGAACTCCTCAAAGCGGACAGTTTGAAGGGCGCTGGATTGAAGCATCCAGAAAGTTACTCGGACAACCAACCACCGTGGCAGCCGTGGCATTGGGGATTTCGTCAGCCAGCAATGGAAAGAATGTGATACAAATCCACCGTTGGGTTTGAAAGACACAAGTCCGTCTGCCTGGTCTAAGGAATCAGGGATCGTCTAGAATCAGGATGAACAGGCCGCACAGACCATCCAAAATCATCCAAATGCCATGTACCAGAATCTGCGATCTACGATGAAAAAATACATGTTGACATGAGTGAAACCTAGAAGTTGGAGATTTACTCGTGTTATGGTTTGTGTTTCACAAGAAAACAGCTGGTTTCTCCTGGAATATTCGGGAATTCATTAAAGGGCCAAGAACTGGAATATCTCCCAACAATAATATTGGTATGTTTCAGAATTGGGTATCCAAGAAGCAGGGCACAATTTCTTTCATCCCCATTAGATATGACCATCAAAAGAGTGGCAAGTATCACTTTTTTCAATGGCCAGTTAATGGCTTTGTCTGAAATTCGTGAGTCATCAAGGTCCCATTCAACCTATACCAGTATATACCAGTTGTATATGGACCATTGGATCAGTTGTATCTATGAAATCCAATGGTCATCAAGGTCCCCTTCAACTCGCAGCCAAGCATCGGCTCCGGGCGCCTCGATGGCCTCAACCCCGGTGACGCCAACGAACAAGGCTCGTAGTTAACCAGCAACAGCTACATGCTACTAGTACGTTTATTCAGATTTATTTACTATCCATTATTGGGGTAGTCAACTTTGGCGGGGTTTGGTTGAATGCGCAGATGTTTATTGTTGAAATTGCAAGTTTGAGGTATCCGAAAAACTGGGAGACAAGAGCGTATACGTGAAAGCATCCGTCCCTCAATGTTCTTCCGCTTCTCAATTCAGGGTGTATTTATGCATGCACCCATGTTCCAGAAATCAGCACCTATCTAAATTAAGGACCCTGAAGCAAACATTGCCCACTTGTAAACCTTAAGAATGGTCTTAGTGATTGCAGTCAGAAAGGGAAAGTTTTATAATTTCTTTCAGAATGGAAATATGGCCAGCAAGAAGGTGCTAGTAGCCTCTTAAGAAGGGATTTTATATGATTTTATGCTTGCAAGCAATGGTCTTTGTTAGCCTTTTTAGTACCGCTCTGGATTTGTCTGAAAGGTTGGTACCTACTGAAAATCCCTCATCAACCGTAGCTACGATCTTTTGCCAGCCGAGTGCTCACTGACATGTCTTTTGCACTGTAGTTCGAGAACTCTTTGCAGACAGCAGAGAGAGCAGGACTCTTTCGCGCGCCGCGCATGGCAAAAAAAAGTCCCCTTCAACTTGCAACTTTGATGGTATTCCCCCATGTTGAAGCACACCCACATGTATGTTTTCACCACGAAGAACGACCCGTCCATCTCTGGTCACGAGAAAATGTGCCAAGGATCGGCTCCGGGCGCCTCTGCTGCAGTGGCCTCGCTATCAAGTGAGATTTGTTCCTGGAAGACTAAGCTGGAACACCACAGAGCCCCAAAAAATTGGATGCCGTTGGTTGAAATAAAGTTGATGCAGGGTTGCGCCCAACACCCCAGATTGGGAGAAACTGGGGGAAAAAAAAAGGTAAAACGGCTAGTTTCCCCCTCGTGGTGACTATCATTTATATACCTATAATGGATTGGAGCAATCCTGTAATACATACTTAAAATGAGGATGACGGCGATAACAGAGACGTGGTCGTGGTGATGATGATGATGATGATGATGAGGAGCATGATGATGATAACCATTATCATTAAGTCAAGACATGGTGTTGTTACTACCTGAAGCAGCTGTTTTGTGTTCCAGGTGAGATTACCTGCAACTGTGGCCGGCGGCTAGCAATGGTTTCCCTTCATCCAGAAATGATGGATATCCTGGATATCTGAAAATTAAGTTATGCCGTTTGAGTAATCTTGTGAATGTGATTTTGTCGTTATGTATGACGCCAGTATTGCAAACACCAACGGTAGTTGGACAACCATCAGCATTTTTAAGGTACTTGTTTGAGTATTTAAAATGGCTGCATCGTACGGCTAAGAAGCTTCAAAATTGATGCTACCAGAAAATGGTTGGTCCTAAGTCTTGAAGATTTAATCTAGTATATACCCAGCAAGTATTCAGAATAGACAATACCCCCAAGAAAGAACGAAAATGAACTGTCCAATGCTAAGCATATCCAATAACTGCAGGTCTCTTCCTACCTGCTGCCGTTTTGATTTGTCAATGGCAGATCCCTAAAGACAAGTATAGTATCCGTGTTCAGTTGGGAACTCGTCTATAAAATGGTTGCTTCAACCCTCCATTGTTGGTGTTTCAACTCTGATTTTGATTAGTTCCACCTCGAAAAGTGTGCTTTTGGCTCAACCTCCCATGATCTTGCTTGCTTCAAGCCGCATTGTGGTTGGGTCCCAACCTCCCATATCAAAGCCACACGATATAGGACAAAATTATTGACCCATACTCTAGACAAAAAGGTATTTAAAAAGAAAAAAAAACTATATCACTATATATATTACTGTATATCACTATATATATATATATCTATCTATCACTATATATTTATCACTATATATATATATATATATCACTATATATAAATATATCACTATATATATATATCACTATATATGTATATATCACTATATATATATATCACTATATATATATATCACTATATATATATATATCACTATATATATATATATCACTATATATATATATATCACTATATATATATCACTATATATATATCACTATATATATATATCACTATCTATATATATATATCACGATTTATATATATATATATCACGATATGTATATATATATCACTATATATATATATATCACTATATATATATATCACTATATATATATATTATATCACTATATATATATATATCACTATATATATATATCACTATATATATATCACTATATATATCACTATATATATATATATCACTATATATATCACTATATATATCACTATATATATCACTATATATATCACTATATATATCACTATATATATCACTATATATATATATATCACTATATATATCACTATATATATCACTATATATATCACTGTATATATCACTATATATATCACTATATATATATATACATATACCAATATATGTATCACTATGTAAATATTTATATATATATATATATCACTATATATATATATATCACTATATATATGTATATACCACTATATATATATATCACTATATATACCACTATATATATATATCACTATATATCACACTATATATCACACTTTATATCACACTATATATCACGCTATATATCACTAGATATCACTATATATCACTATATATCACTATATATCACTATATATCACTATATATATATATATCACTCTATATCACTATATATCACACTATATATCACACTATATATCACACTTTATATCACACTATATATCACACTATATATCACACTATATATCACTATATGTCACTATATATATATATATATCACTATATATCACTATATATCACTATATATATATATATCACTATATATCACTATATATCACTATATATCACTATAACCATATGGCAATACTCAATACATCTCAATACCAAAAAATTGCTCCTCTTGTGTGTCCTTTCTATGACCCGTTTTGTGACCGTGCTCTTCTGCCCAGTGGCACTGACCCTACGGAGGGTCTCCGCGCATCCGCGGAGGGTCTCCGTGCATCGCCGTGCGACCGCCGTTGCGAGGACCGGGCGCCCGCGGCGCCCGCGGCGCCCGCGGAGCGGTCGGCCGGTGGCGAGGCGGAGCGCGGGTCCTGAGGGAAGGGATCAAGGGTCCCATGGCTTTAATGTTGGTAAAACAATGATAAACCAGCCATATTTTGATGGTTTTAAGTTTACAGCACAAATGGAAGAGCTGTTTTTTCACCATTCCAAGAACGAGGATTAAGATGTGTTTCCACCAATTTTCGTTGTGCATTGCAGGCATCTACATGACCAGCGAGGCCTTTCAAACTAGTTGCCAGTTTTGTTTCCAGAAACGGAGGTTCACTGTTAGGACCAATTTACTCATTTGAAGCAACCAACAATGGGGATGTACTACCCAGTCAAATGGGTACAGTTTTCCACCTAACAACCAATGGTCTACAGTTTGTTGTTACGAAATAAGGTGGATTTTGAGCAACAAATAAGATTTTTGTGGAAACTTGGGGAGTCAACGATCAGACTTCACTTTGACCTTTTGACCCAAAAGCATCCAAGAACCAGACATATAAAGAATAGCAGGTGAACAAATTCAAGTTGTGATGAAGACTACCCCAACTTGAAACAGTTCTACCTGATAGGCGTACCATTTGCTGACACCCTACTCCTCTTGGTCCTCACCTGGCGCAGCGCCAAGGAACCATCCGTTGGCCCATGGATTGCTGGGTTGGACCTCGACCTCGGATCCCTTCTAGGCCGGCTTTGGCTTGTAACCAGCCTGTCCTGTGCCGGTCTGAACAGTTTGGTCGACGGGGGCAGGGAAGTTTGTCACAAAGGATCGGGTTCTCTTTGCTCGACATGTTCCACTCATGTAGCGGATCAGCGAAAAAACGAAGGCAGCAAGTGTTAGTAACATTGTATGCACACCCCTTGATCCAAACATCTCCATCAATGTGAGTGCAAATTCTCTCTCCCTCTCTCCCTCTCTCCCTCTCTCCCTCTCTCCCTCTCTCCCTCTCTCCCTCTCTCCCTCTCTCCCTCAGCATTTTTTTTCATCGCTGCGAATGGTCAAGTTGCCGGCAGGTTCGGCTCGGCGGTGTCATTGCACCTTGCGGCTCACTGCACAGGGAGCGAAAACTTGAGGCAATGCGAATTTGGCAACAACGGCTGCCAATTGATGCTGATGACTGATCCTGCCTCAGTTCGTCTCTGAGCTTGAAGCGGGCGGCCTGCAACGCGCGACTGTCCGTCACGGTTGCCTGGGCACGTAAATTGTCCTTCTGCTTGTCTTTCAAGACCTGGCAGCAGCAGCTTTCAGAGGTATTGCAAATCTGCTGACTGCTGTCGCGTCCGTACACAGTCTAAATGAACTCACCGGCTGATGTGCCTTCCCTTGCGAAGAGACTCTGTACGCAACAGGCCCGTCTGCCGCTGGAGGTCGTACGCTTCCCTGTCGACCTTGGCCCGTGAGGAGACGAGGACATCTGAGTCGACCTTGGCGCAGTGCAAGATTGGACCCGGCCTTCTGTTTCATGCGGCCGAGCTTTTCTTTGCTGATGTTCTTGTCCATGGCCACCTGCTCAGTTGATTTCCAGACAGTGTGTATCAAGCAGTTGTGTTATGAGCGTTTTTCCATGGGGCTGTGAAGCACTGTGCAGCAACGAAGTCGCTTGAGTGCCCCTGCCTTCTCCCGACGCAGGACCTGACTACCAAACTGGAACAGGTCCTCGCTCATCGCCTGACACTGGAAGGGTGTGTTTGGCATGAGACCTAATTTCTTGGAACAGTAACTGAGGCACGGCCTTCGCTCAGCAGGGGCTAGAGTGAGAAGCTACTCGCTACAAGGCAAAGCAGGTGCTTGATACTGAAACGCTCCGAAGAATTCAAGTTGGTTGCGTCGTACCTCATGACATTCGGCACTTATGTACAGTTGTCGCCTGCGCTTGATGCTCTACGGTGACTCATCCTAGGTGGGCGAGGTTCATCTTCCCTTCGCCGTCTTGTTTCGAACGGGTTCCGTGGTGGCCCTTTCCATTAGCCTGACCGTCTTGAGGCCCAATGATGTCTTTGCATCCGGCTCTTTTGGGTCCCTGTCAACTTGCTCAATCCCTACGACGGCGTCGATATGAATGTATGTATGTATGTATGTATGTATGTATGTATGTGTGTAAGGTATGTATGTATGTATGTATGTATGTATGAATGTATGTATGTATGTATGTCTGTAACGTATGTATGTATGTATGTACGTATGTACGTATGTACGTATGTACGTATGTACGTATGTACGTATGTACGTATGTACGTATGTACGTATGTACGTATGTATGTATGTATGTATGTATGTACATACGTACGTACGTCTGTATGTGTGTGTATATGTATGTATGTATGTATGTATGTATGTATGTATGTATGTATGTATGAATGTATGTGTATATGTGTGTAACGTATGTATGTATGTATGTATGTATGTATGTATGTATGTATGTATGTATGTATGCATGTATGCATGTATGCATGTATGCATATATGCATGTATGCATGTATGCATGTATGCATGTATGCATGTATGCATGTATGCATGTATGCATGTATGCATGTATGTATGTATGTATGTATGTATGTATGTGTGTAACGTATGTATGTATGTATGTATGTATGAATGAATGTATGTATGTATGTATGTCTGTAACGTATGTATGTATGTATGTACGTATGTACGTATGTACGTATGTACGTATGTACGTATGTATGTATGTATGTATGTATGGATGCATGCATGCATGCATGCATGCATGTATGTATGTATGAATCTATGTATGTATCTATGTATGTATGTATGTATGTATGTATGTATGTATGCATGTATGTGTGTATGTGTGTATGTGTGTATGTATGTATGTATGTATGTATGTATGTATGTATGTATGTATGTATCTATGTGTGTATCTATGCATGCATGCATATGCATGCATGCATGCATGTATGTATGTATGTATGAATCTATGTATGAATCTATGTATGTATCTATGTATGTATGTATGTATGTCTGTAACGTATGTATGTATGTATGTATGTATGTATGTATGTATGTATGTGTGTATGCATGTATGCATGTATGTATGTATGCATGTATGCATGTATGCATGTATGCATGTATGCATGTATGCATGTATGCATGTATGCATGTATGCATGTATGTATGTATGTATGTATGTATGTATGTGTGTAACGTATGTATGTATGTATGAATGTATGAATGTATGTATGTATGTATGTATGTATGTTCGTATGTATGTATATATGTCTGTATGTATGTATGTATGTATGTATGCATGTAAGCAAGTAAGTAAGTAAGTAAGTATGTATGTATGTATGTATGTATGCATGTATCTCTGTATGTATGTATGTATGTATGTACGTATGTATGTATGTATGTATGTATGTATGTATGTATGTATGTATGTATGTACGGATGTATTACTTTCATGTGGTGTCAGATATCTGTTTGACTCTGTATAGTTATAGTTCGCGGGTCGGTTCTCTTTTCCACGGCGATTTACAATCGGCCTGTTTGAAAGGCGCCAACGACCTAGCGGTGTCTGTGGATAAGTCCTGCTCTAGGCCGTTGCAAGCAATTATCATAAAGCAGCAACAAAGATATTACTTGTATAGGTGAACCATTCTATGAATGTATACACAGGTTTTCCGACAAGGAATGTTAATTGCTTGGCCGAAAGTGAAACAATGCGGGGGCACTCGGCGATTGAGCCTGCGGATGGCACGCAGGACACAGGCAACATGAGTGATCTGAGCTGTCGTTTGGTTGTTTGCTGGCCGTCTCCAAAGAAAGCATTTCAGGGACCATACTTCTTATTTGTCTTTTATGATGTGGGCTACGACGGCAATCGTTCACAAAGCTGTTTCATGGCAGCGCCTTCGCTACACGAACAAGTTCCAATAGACGTTGGCATCTTTCGCGTTCGCACTTGGTGTGAAGGCCTCCAAGAGAAAGAGTTGTTTTCGTGAAGTCTGCAAACATAGCATTGATTTTTCCGCGCCTCTTCTCGCGTCAATTCGGCATGCAGCGGGTAACGCCGTTTGGTGTTACCCGTGCGCCGAACCGCCGTGGCCTCAGGCGCCAGGGTCAGCGCGCACGGCACCTGGGACAATTTTCGCATGCGCACCAAGTATCTCGCATTTTCGACGACCCTGCCTGGCGGTAGCGGATAAGGGGCCGCTTCCGCAGGCGCCGCAGCCGCAGCGTCTTCAGGGGGAATGCCCCTAAGACAGGAGCTCGCAAACAAGCACAAGCAGAATATTCACATGTCAGGCAGGTGTCCGTCAAGGCTTAGCACGAGGCGTGTGGTAAGCTTTGGTGTTCATCGGCCTCAGCAATTTACAAGTGCGGATGCATGTCAAGGTCAACTGATATAACGCTGTCCCGCCGTGTCATCTCACATGGAGGCATGTTCGAGGCAAGCTCTCATAAAAAGCAACTGAAGCAGCAACCTGAAGTAGGACCAGAGGGACGTCAACCCAAACACGGCAGCTACAGCTTGATCTTGAAATGCTCTGACAACGTGAAAGGTGGTTCAGATGGATTTGTCTTGTTGTTTACTCTGCGCATGCAGACTGACAGTATGTAGAGCCTTTATCAATCAGATGACATCGGGCCCGAATACTTTCACGCGTTAGCTTCTTTGCCCTCTAATTGAAATCGTTTCTGTCTTCTCCCGCGTGGTTCTGTCTGCCGCGCTTCGATGCTCTTTTTCCGCGATGATCACACTTCGCCTGCTTGAACGGCACCAACGACCTAGCGGTGTCTGTGGATAAGTCCTGCTAGGCCGTTGCAAGCAATTATCCTGAAGAAGAAACAGAGATAGTATATATATATATACTTGAGAAGGGGTGACACGAAAGGTAGTTGTGTCACAGGGGACGCGGGGGATTACTCAGTGCGAAAGCCGAGCGGAGGACATTGGGGGGAGGCATGGAACTGGACATCCAGAGCAGAGCGGAGATATCTGGATCCGAAAAGAGAGCACCCCACGATGTCCATGGTTGCTCATCACTTAGTCCATTTTTAAATAGCCATTTGGAGGTATACATTGTCAGACACACGCATCGTGCGGGGATAAAAAAATGGTCAGTGTTAGCACAAACTCCAATGTGTCTTTTTGCAAGTCGAATGATGGTGATGAGGATGATGATGATGATGATGATGATGAGGATGAGGATGAGGATGCGGATGATGAGGATGATGACGATGATGCTGATGATGAGACACTGCGAAGGGGCTGCTGCGTGAAGAGACGCACAAGGCATGTGACGAGAGTTCACTTGGGGGGGGGGCATGGAACTGGACATTCAGAGCAGAGCGGAGATATCTGGATCCGAAAAGAGAGCACCCCACGATGTCCATGGTTGCTCATCACTTAGTCCATTTTTAAATAGCCATTTGGAGGTATACATTGTCAGACACACGCATCGTGCGGGGAAAAAAACACGGTCAGTGTTAGCACAAACTCCAATGTGTCTTTTTGCGGTACCTATGGATGCTCGAACCTGTCACTTGCATCGCACCGTTGGGTACTTGGAAAATGGATGTCGAAAAATCCAATTTCAAGTCGAATGATGATGGTGATGAGGAGGATGATGATGATGATGACGATGATGTTGATGATGATAATGGTGATGATGACGAGACACTGCGAAGGGGCTGCTGCGTGAAGAGACTCACCAGGCATATGGCGAGAGTTCCCTTTGAGGGGGGGGGTCCCTTTCTCCTGGTCGTCGGGAGGGGGGGGTCCCTTTCTCCTGGTCGTGCAGGGATGAGGGGTCCAACCCGCCCCTTTGCTTCGCAAAGTAAAACTCAAGGTAGCCCGCTAGGAGGCTACCTTTCGTGATATATATATATATATATGCTTTTTAGGCGAACCCATGGTAGTTGTGTAGGTTTTCCAGCAACAGCGAGGTATAATTGCTTGGCCGGAAGTGAAACAATTGAGGGGCTATGGGAGCATGACTTTTTGCTGATCCATTTACCATAATTACTGATGTTCGTGGCTTCGTCAAAGGAGCCCATGAGCTTTTTCAGTAGACATACAATGCTTATCCATGTACGAGGGCTTAGATGGATCAGACTTCAAGCATAAAGTCATGCTCCCACGCCCATGCCTGCCCGCGTGTCCACCAATGATTCAGAGTGGCCGGGTCCGTCCAACCTTGGTTCACGCGTGATGGGATCAAATGAACAGCACCAACAGAAACGAGGCGCCGCCGAGGACTGGGCGCAGCCAGCCATCTGCAGGTAAGAGGTCCAAGTCGGCCCCGTAGGCCTGTTCGATGCATCAAGCTAACTCAAGTTCAGTCACGCGTGCACTACGGCTGCCAGGCCTGGCAGACTGCTTCGGACGCATAGGTCCACTTCTGCTCCGCCGTGCCCGTGCCATCATCCTGCGTCCATTTCTGCTCAAGATGTAAGTGTTACCTCATTAGATGTCACCCCAAGCTTACCCTGCGAGCCCCCGCCTCGTCCCAGGAGGACTCGCTGTCCTCGAACTCAGAGCCAGCAGCCGTCTCAGGGACCTGACCCAGCATGTCCCAACAGAAATCATCACGAGCGTAGTGCTGAGGCCTCTTGGCTTGCCTGGATCGACTCGTCGTCGGTCGACTCTGGCTCCGTCGCTGAGTCCGACCTCGGTCCACGGCGGTCACAGCATTTGACGCCTTTTTTTCGTCTATCGGGAGTGTGACAAGACCCGCCGACGTTTGCAGCTGAGATCGTCACGGAGCCTCGGCGGCGAAGGTAATGACGTAGTTGCGCGAGTAAGCGCAGCGCAGGCCTGGGGCTTCGTCGGCTGGTTCTATTGGGGTATACAAAGCATGTCAGCTTGAGGTCTGGACAGATATACACCTCGTTATCCCTCTCTCCCTCTCTCCCTCTCTCCCTCTCTCCCTCTCTCCTCCTCCCTCTCTCCCTCTCTCTCCCTCTCTCCTCCTCTCTCTCTCTCCCTCTCCTCCCTCTCTCCTCTCCCTCTCTCCCTCTCTCATCCCTCTCTCCCTCCTCTCTCTCCTCTCTCCCTCTCTCCCTCTCTCCCTCTCCATCTCTCTCCCTCTCTCTCTCTTCCTCCTCCCTCTCTCCCTCTCTCTCTCCTCTCTCTCCCTCTCTCTCCTCTCTCCCTCTCTCCCTCCTCTCCCTCTCTCTCCTCTCTCTCCCTCTCTCTCCCTCCTCTCCCCTCTCTCTCTCCCTCTCCCCTCTCCCCTCCCCCTCCTCGGTCCCTCTCTCCCCCTCTCTCCCCCTGCTCTAACCTCTTTCCTCTCGGTTCCCTCTCTCTCCCTCGTCTCTCGCCTCATCCCTCTCTCCCTCCCGTCCCTCTCCTCTCCCCTCTCCTCTCCCTCCCCTCTCTCCTCCTCATCCCTCTCTCCTCTCTTGCGATCCCTCTGCACTCATTCCCATCCTCTCCTCTCTCCCTCTCTCTCTCTCCCTCTCTTCCCTCCCCCTCCCTCTCTCCCTCTCTCCCCTGTGTAGTCCCGTCCCCTCCCTCCCTCCCCCCCCTCTCCCCCCTCCCCCTCTCTCTCTCTCTCTGTGTAGGTATATATATATATATACCTATATATAAGTATATATAAGTATATATGTGTATATATGTGTATATATATATACGTATAAGTATATATGTACATAATAAATTATGTGTATGTATATATATGTGTGTGTAAATATCTATGTATATATATATATATATGTATTTATATATATGTATATATATATTGTATATATATATGTGTATTTATATATATATATATGTAAATATATGTATATATATATATATGTATATATGTATATATATGTATATATATATATGTATGTGTATATACATTTATATACAGATATAAGTCTCACAAATTTGAGATGCGGCAGCAAGAAAGTTTGCACCCCTGTGCCTCAACTGGTTCTCAGGATCAGCTGGATTGGCCCGGGGCATCACAAAGGTCTTGCTGTTCTCTTTTGTGCCTCAAGTGCTGTGTTCAGACACTGGCACGCAAGGAAGAGGTTGAAAGACCCAAAGAGAAAGATCAGCTGCGTAGAATTAACAAAGGGACCAAGAGTGGCACATTCTTAGATTATCACATTCTTGAAAAAAAAGCACCTTTTTTGTGAAACCCCTCTTGCCATCACCCAGAAAGGCCTGTAATGGGGGAGCCCTGCCTATTTGCTTCATGGTTTCAAAATATTGAGAGATCACCAGGAGGTGCGACAGCTCCTGGAGCAGCAGGAAGTTGGTGAAGCCAACTAACTTCCCGCAGCGTGACGGCAATGATATCAAAATCAATATTACCTATATATATATAAATAAAGAAAAGAATATAATATAATATAATATAATATAATATAATATAATAATAGTATAATATAATATAATACAATATGATATGATATGATATAATATAATATAATATGATATGATATGATATAATATAATATAATATGATATGATATGGTATATTATAATATAATATAGTATAATATAATATAATATAATATAATACAATATAATATAATATAATATAGTATAGTATAGTATAATATAACCTATATATATATATCCATACTCATATACCCATCTATCCCTCTATCTATCCATCCACCTATGCATCCATCTATCGTCCTGTTCTCTCCTCTGCTATCCTATCCTATCCTATGTCATCTCATCTAAAAAATCTATCTGGTCTATCTGTTATGATCTTATCTTGTCTAGAAAAATCCAATCTTATCTTGTCTTATCTTATCTGTCTATCTATATGTGTTGTCTGTTGTCTGCATTTTTGTGTAATTGCGTATACACCCAAACTAGTCAGGACGTTGTTGTTTCTCAAAAAGATAGACTTTTTCCCCACCTGCCAGGTGAGGGTTGTTAGATTTTATCAGAGCTGTTCTTCTCCTCCTCGGCTAGCTCTTCTCCTCCTCCTCTTCCTCCTCCTCTTCCTCCTCCTCTTCCTCCTCCTTCTCCTCCTCCTCCTTCTCCTCCGCCTCTTTCGCCTCGACCATGTCTGCACCAACTTCCACCTCGACTTCCGCCTTGCCAACTCTTCGCCAAGCTCTTTGCCAACTTCCCAGCTCAGCGTGCACCGCTGGACCTCAACCTGGGACCTTCCCAGCTCGATGTGCGCCGCTGGACCTCAAACTGGGACCTTCCGAGCTCAGTGTGCATCGCTGGACCTCAACCTGGGACCTTCCCAGCTCAGTGGGCACTCAACCTGGGACCTGCCCAGCTCAGTGTGCACCGCTGGACCTCAACCTGGGACCTTCCCAGCTCAGTGTGCACTGCTGGACCTCAACCTGGGACCTGCCCAGCTCAGTGTGCACCGCTGGACCTCAACGGCCCGATAGAATGCCAGAAGATATGCCAGATAGAATGTCAGATAGAATGCCAGAAGATATGCCAGACAAAATGCCATAAGATATGCCAGATAGAGTGCCAGAAGATATGCCAGATAGAATGTTAGAAGATATGCCAGATAGAATGCCAGATAAAATGTCAGATAGAATGCCGATAAAGTGCCAGAATGTTTGCCAGATAGAATGCCAGAAGATTGCCAGATAATATGCCAGAAGATATGCCAGATAGAATGCCAGATGGTTTGCCAGATAGAATGCCAGAACATATGCCAGAAGATATGCCAGGTAGAATGCCAGAAGATATGCCAGATAGAATGCCAGATAAAATGCCAGAAGATATGCCAGAAGATATGCCAGATAGAATGCCAGAAGATATGCCAGATAGAATGCCAGAAGGTATGCCAGATAGAATGCAGATAAAGTGCCAGAATGTTTGCCAGATAGAATGCCAGAAGATTTACCAGATAGAATGCCAGATAGGATGTCAGAAGATATGCCAGAAGATATGCCAGAAGATATGCCAGATGGAATGCCAGAAGATATACCAGAACATATGCCAGAAGATATGCCAGATAGAATGCCAGAAGATATGCCAGATAGAATGCCAGATAGAATGCCAGAAGATATGTCAGATAGAATGCCAGAAGATTTGCCAGTAACAAAATGTATAAATGTCATGGTGGGGATCACACGAAGTAAAGTAATTTGTGTGCCTGATATTTTGAAACTCTGCTGCCCCAACTCGCTGGCGACGTGTTGGCTTGAAAGGTTGACAAAACAGCAAGCTCAACAAAGCCCGCGTATGTTCACCCTTGCCTACATGACGTCAGCTTTTCAAGCGCATATGTATGTGAAAGAATAGCAGTGACTGCAGGTCTAAATAAGCCTCGGTGACACACATGCCTGCCCAACCTCATTCTTAAATCTCTACGGGATAAATAGAACTCAAAGCACACCATCGGCATCTGTAGCAGGTGAGGAATAATCACGGATGTACTGCAATGGACATTCAACAAACAAACGGGCTCACAATGGGAACATCAAGGGATGTCGAACTGTTCCATGTGCTCACTGAAGTGTTTATTTTTTTTCCCCCACAGCAAAACTTTGCTATGGGGTCTTTAGCCCAGATTAGCTTTGCTATGGGGTCTTTAGCCCAGATTAGCTCCGGTGCGATCCGGTGCAGCTTCAACACCAGGTTCCGGACAAGGTTCCGGATGGCTCTGGTGCAGATACCTCATCAGGTTCCGGAGGGTTCCGGTGCAGATACCTCGTGAGGTTCCGAGGTTCCGGTGAAGATACCTGCGGTTCCCGAGGGTTCCGGTGCAGCTACCTTGTGAGGTTCTGGAGGGTTTTGGCAGAGAAGATGCTTGGTGAGGTTCCGGAGGGTTCTGGTGCAGATACCTTGCGAGGTTCTGGAGGGTTCTGGTGCAGATGCTTTGTGAAATTCCAAAGAGTTCCAATGCTTTTTATGGCGTAAGCACTTAATTTTTATGGCATCAGCACTTTTTATGGCAAAAATGCAGAAGCTTTCAAGCTGTTGGGGATAGCACCTGAATTTATTCTTTACATACCCAGCCATGAAATGCGTGGGGGAGGGTATGGCAATCCAAATTACCAATCAAAGGGAAGACCCACCGGTAATTTGAGCAGGAACACCATTTGAAGCAACACATTCCCAAACTCTCCGCAGCTCCTCTGTGGTAGCCTTGTGGTCAGTCCTGCGGATCGCTGGTGGTGTCGAAAGGGGCAAGTCACCGTTGACCTTTTCATCTTTGAAGGAACTAACACATCAGAGTGCCACAAAAAATTGTTCCCGAGTTCAAGAATGGGGTACTGACAGGCACTAAGCCTTCTACGCATCCTATGTCAATGTACATGTGAGTGGCCCCTCCTGGACCCCTGAAATCTCCTAAGTAAAGGGGTGCTTTAGTGTTTCGTAGCTCCGCTCCCAAACGTCAAGGAAGTAAACATACTGAGTGGGCAAACGACCCTAGCGGTTTGGCAACATTTTTCCGGTGGTGCCAACTTGTGTGCTTGTTGCACAAAGCAGGCCAGCTACCAGTTGCAAATAGACTTGAAGAGTCATACCGTCATACCCCGATTTACTCATGTGCAGACCAGTTCGATAACCATGTCACCGACTCACAAGCAGGGTGAACACACCAAGGTACCCAATCAAAAACAGCTTTCGGAATAACATGGTTTCGATCTCAGAAAAAAAAACTGTCTATTTGTTCCTACCCTTTTCATGAAACATATTCATTCCCATCATTGGTGTTCGCCTTCACCCAACCTGGGTAGCATGGTCATGAAATTTGTTTGGGCAAAATTAGTCTTGGCCCATGCGTATTAGTGAAAAAACATCACCCCGCAAGAAACCATTTCAGAGACCGATGCCACCCCCACCCTTGTTACTTATAAAGTAACCATGCCAAGTTTGGTTGATAAAAAAACAAGTTTTGGCTATTAAAATCACATTGATTCACCAACATCATGTTTGGATATGTTCGGGTTTGGTTCCCCTTTGCCAATCCTCAGCTTTATTGTCAGGGTGTCCCTCCCCCAATTTTAAGTTGGCTTGTAACCCCACTAACTATAGACATATTTCCCATAAACCATAGTTACCTCCGGTAATCAAAAGCTGCAATGGAAAATCCACCATCAATCGAAGTTTAACAAGAAAATCATCGAAATGAATTGGGGGGGTTCCATCGCCACGCTTGATTACCGGAGGGTAAGCGAGTTGTAACGAAGTATGGGCATGACATGTTACCGGCCACGCTCCTCTCGAGCACAGCTGTGCGCAAACCATCGATGATGGCGCCACGTTGCCGCGCTAAACCATCACCTTGAAGCTCGGCCTCAGGAAACCAGCAATTCCACGCTGGACCACAGTGGAATGAATTAACGGCTAAATGGGGATATAATGGAGGATATTTATATATATATATATAATCATAATATATACTATGTATATATATATACACACTATGTTTATAATATATATATATACTATGTATGTGTATATATATATAATGTACAAAGGGACCTTTTGGATATACTTCGTGCCTCCTGGAAAAACTCCTTTTTGTCGATGATCCAATTGAAGCTCGGATGGGTTCCGGGTTTGGCACATGGATCCAAACCATGTCAAAACCAAAGTGTCAGAGCGAATGTAGAATGACATGTCACCTTCAAACTGATTTTTCAATCGGGAGCTCGACTCTTGGTGGCAACCCTCATCGGCAACAAAAACAACCGTAATTCATAGCTATGAACGCATGCCAAGGCAAAGGAAAAGATGGATAATCATCTGAACCAGACATTCGATTGCGAACCTTACATTCGATGGCGAGCCTGACTGATTAAGTACAGAAACATCATCGATATAGGTACAGTTGACCTGTTTTTTCCCATGCGTAATGTACCTGAACGTTGTATCACTGCTAGTGTCTTCAAATGCATGGCTACTCCCAGAAATCTCCAAACTCCATGAACAAGCCTTGACTTAATGGATTCAAAAGCTAATTCTCCGGAGCATTCAAATTGTTAAAATGTTTGATTTTCTTGGAATATTTAATGGATTTAAAAGTTTTAATGCTGCGCGTTAAATCCATTAAACTAATAGATATCAATGGATTTATGAGTTTGCATGCTCCAGAGGATTAAATCCGTTAAGACTTTGAAATATCTATATAATGGAACTTAAGTACCGGTATTAATGCTTCAGGGGATTTAATCGGTTAAACAGTTTAAATGGTTTATTGATTTAAGAGTTCATGTCAATATGTCTGGGGAACAAGCATGTGCAGAATATGACCTGAAGGTCCCTCATACATATTGTGTGTGTGAGAGTGAAACTTCTGAACAGATGTAAAACTTCTACCTTTGAGCTTACTTTTCAAGTTTTCGCAGGCAAGTTATTCCAAGCAGGGGGCGTGACGGTTGATTTCCTAGTCACGCCAACGAAGCTATGGAAATCAACTGGATGGAAGTTTGGACGCAAACTTCTGTACCTGCAGTGTCGCTCCTGGGCGCATTCAAGTCGCAGCTGGGGGACACGTCATGCTGTGTTTTCTGTTGTTGTTTAACTGCATTGTCAAGTGCCAACCAAACTTCAACCTGAGGTTTCTCACTTCTGATCATTCAATGGCTCCTGTCAGGTTTAATTGGTGTTTTTGCACGTAAGATGCATTCCACATCAGAATTCGCAAAGATGTTTCTGAGCAAGTGTGCGATTCATGCTGGATTCATCAAGGTGGCATGAACCCTTCGGGGAAAGCTTTTCCAAGCTAAGACTTGACATTTCGAATTGACCTCTGAATTGACACTTTTGAATTAGTAATTCGTCTAAGTAGCGTGAAACAGCTAGCCATTCTTCGGTTTTCACCCTGTCGGCTGTCGTTTGGTTGAACAGCATGCCGCTGTGCCTGGCTTCACCTTTTCTTTTGTCTGAATTTACACTTTTAAATTAGTAATGCGCTTAAGTAAAGTGAACAGCTGGCCATTTTTCGGTTTTCACCCTGTCGAATGTCGTTTGGTTGAACAACGTGCCGCTGTGCCTGGCTTCACCTTTTCTTTCATGAAAAATCAGGCAACAGGACATGCTTTAGGTGTGGTTTTTCTTTCTTTTTATGGTCGTTGGTGAGGTTCAATTGTGCACGTAATTCAGGGGTTGACGATGTAAGCCGTTTACAGGGTTGTGAAATGAAAGCCGAGGGCCTTTGGCATCATGTGTAAGTTTTCTTGACTTGTTTGATGGGAAGAACGATGAATCCAATTCCAGCCATGACGCAGGGCACTTAGTCCGGTCATCGGTTTCCACCAGCACCTCGATTTCATTGCTATATCCTGCCTCAGGGAACCTATAAGAGCTTAACGACGTCCCGTGCAGTCGTTGCACAAAATGGCCTCGCGGCAGCGGGGCGTGTGTGTGAAACATCTGAACAGATGTAAAACTTCTACCTTTGAGCTTACTTTTCAAGTTTTCGCAGGCAAGTTATTCCAAGCAGGGGGCGTGACGGTTGATTTCCTAGTCACGCCAACGAAGCTATGGAAATCAACTGGATGGAAGTTTGGACGCAAACTTCTGTACCTGCAGTGTCGCTCCTGGGCGCATTCAAGTCGCAGCTGGGGGACACGTCATACTGTGTTTTCTGTTGTTGTTTAACTGCATTGTCAAGTGCCAACCAAACTTCAACCTGAGGTTTCTCACTTCTGATCATTCAATGGCTCCTGTCAGGTTTAATTGGAGTGTTTTTGCAAGTAAGATGCATTCCACATCAGAATTCGCAAAGATGTTTCTGAGCAACTGTGTGCATATTTGTTAATATTAGTTGTATGATTTTATGGCTGTGTCTTTAATAAATAAGAGACACCCACAAAATGGCTATGTCTACACTGGAAAAGGATGATAAACCATCGAATCTTGGGGTACTACATTTTCAGACAAACTCCCGACCTCAATAGGGGTCATATGGGGTAATCTAATGTAATCTGGGACCCAAACCATGAATGTTTGGTATAAACATGTATAAACCATCCTCAGTCAGAGCTGTATGGCATTGACTATTGGGTTTACTTCAGTACCCCCAACAGTAGATGGCATGTTAATGTGAGCTTGCTGTCGGATACCCCACTTTCTGGCCATTGAAAACAATTTTCTCAACCAGAAGAGCTTGGGTTTTATTCTACAAGTTTCAGGCAAACCTTCCCAGTCTCACTGCCCACAGGCGCTAGGGCCCCAACCGCATCAGCTTCGGCTTCAGCTGCCTTTACGATGCGAATCCTTGTCTGAGGGATCAAAAAAGGATGAGACTCCCAGTTCGAAGCACGAAACGGAATAGTCCCAAACACATCAGATTTCCGACTCGCCATCAGAAAAAACTCGAAGAAGAAGGGATCAGGAACCTCCTGACATTTTGCGGACGCATGGACCCCAACCTCCGTCAAAAGATAACTTCCACCAAGCATCTTGTGAGCTTCAGCTTCCCTCAGGATTGGTCAAACGTTGGTACCCCCGAAAAAATATTCCCAGTTTGTTTGTTTGTTTTTTGTGAGTGTGTGTGTGTGTGTGCGTGTGGTCTCTTTTTCGGAACCCCCTGATATACACTGAGGTCAAGGAAGCCAATCGTTCCATCTGAGAAGGTTGCTTTTCATGCATCAAAGAAGGCAACTAGGTGCACGGCATTATAGCAGCGTCCCGCAAGCGTTTTTGTCCTCGGGGCGTTGAAACAAAATACTCATTGAACAGTGACTTACCAATCAAAAATAGATTTCTACTAGAGCTATTGCAAATCTAAAAGAAATCGATTTGAACCCATGTCTGTCTCTTCGGGGGTCTCCAACAACCTCCACTGGGATGCTGAGGATCTGTTGATCTCGTTCATAGCGTCCATCACAGACTTGTGTAGCCGGATCCTTAGTGGTCGAAGTCTACCCAAAAAGAACTTCCATGTGCCCTGAAGAAATGAGGGTGAAGCAAAATGTTTGGCGGCTTGAATGGTCTAGTGGAGTTCCATGTGCAAGTTCAGAAATTCAGGGGCGTGGGAGTTCTGATCGGGTTTATAAACCCAGGCAGAAAATGATTTCTTGCTTTGCCCTCATGATGTTGCAGGATTCAACACGTAAAACATGGAAAACATGGAATATACTGTAAATACTGTACCTCTCTTCCCGACGGAGACAACCCCCAAATCATCAAAGCTGAGTAAAAGTGGGGTGGGTCAAAGCCCCAAACCAAACAACGATCACAAATCGCCATTGGACCTTCATCTTTCCAGTCGTATAATTCCTGACTTGTCATAGCTTCCAGTGACGCAAGTCCAAGTCGCGCGAGGCTTTAGCCGCTTTTTTGCAGGTCAAAATGTTCAGACCCCAACCCAAGTTTGACCCGTACCCAGATGAATTTCATGGTCAAAGGTGTTCTATGCAACGACAAATCGTGCCATGGGAGCCACTGATGAGGGAGCCACTGCCGAATTCATGAAGATGGGGAATGCCCCAATCAATACCGATTTGCAAACCATGGGATGAACCTGCAGCCGAGTCTACTTCGAACCAAAATGCACATTGCTCATGCAAATGATGCTGCAAAGTATATCTCAGTGAAATAAAGGGGGAATTATGTGACAATGTGACTTCCTCAGCCATGCTTTGTGGAGCGAGTGGCTCTGTGCAAAGTACATTGCTGACGATGAAGCCAAATTCGCACCTTGTTTCGGCCGGCACAGTGGCGATGACGCCTAAAAAGATGCCACCCAAATCACCCAAAGAACATTTTTTCTTGGTGACTGTCGCACTTTGCTGGTGATAGGTCTTTTTTTGTAGCCTCGCATCCCGTTGGGTGAGAGTCATTTGACGATAAAAGCGTCAGAGTGCCAATTTAAGCAAATACACCATTCCTGTTTCTTCACACGCACAGTTCAATCTTGCGCACTTCCAGTTTCATCTTCAATAAGAAACGAACAAGTCTTCCACGGTGTTCATGGGCAGTGCATGATACTTCCCCAGAAATTTCACGAGTCACCACTGATAATCCCACTAGCCAGGCGACAAGGCTTCTGACAGCCTCGGGTACATGGAGTTGTGGCTAGGTGCAGCCCGTGCATGGTTGATAAGTATGGTCGTGAACCATTTAGATGGTGGGAAAAACAAGTTTATTACTATACATACATGTACTGTGTATAATATAATATATATATATACAACAACCAATGGCCACTTCTCGACTGGGATGCACATCCAAGTACGTACATGTGTATGACAAGTACTATCAACGTGTATATTTGTGTGCATATGCCCAATGAGACTACATTGGGAATCCTTTGGATGTCACCAGGATCTTTTAACTCTGGACGCAGAAGCTAAGTGAAGCCCAAAGCTCCACGGTTTTTGCTTTGAAGCGTTTACACCGAATAAGTTGACCCTGAGTGGCCATGAAATTGGCTTTGGCCAACCGAAGCAGACTCAACCACACTATCTTTTTCGGATGTCTTCTGGTGTGTTGTTTTTGCTGCACGTTGCCCAAGAATATGTTTCTTGCTTCAAGTTCAAAAGCGCCGGGCACCAAAGATGGCATGCCCAATATTTTGAACCCCTGAAATAACTCTGCCTTTAGAACTATAGGATGCTGAACTGCACTTCTCCATATGGCTCAAAGTGACTCCACTCACTGACGTTCACCCAGAATTTGTCTGGGATCTCCCATTGACAAATATAATTATGTGTATATACTGTGTATGTATAAACACGTGTACATATATATATATACACACACACTCTCATAAACATATCCACACATATGTACATAGAACCCAAATGGCCCCTGGTTTCGGATGGCTAAACCTCAATCTTTGTGTCAAACCCCGTAAATATGGGTCATGTGGGTTCCACCTATATTATTCAAATACATACTAAAATATCTATGCATAAATAGGCATGCATGTTTCTATGTAGATATGATATATATATATAGAGAGAGAGAGAGAGATCTGTGTGTACTATATATATATCATATGTGTATATATATATATAAATATAATATGTATTATATATATGTAATGCATAATATATATATATACATAGAATATAATATAATATAATATAATATAATATATATAATATATATAATATATATAATATATATAATATATAATATACATATAGTATAATATATAATATAGATATGGTATAATATACATATATATACATATGTAATATATATATATAATATGTATAATATATATAATACATAATATATATATATACATATAATATAATATAATATAATATATAATATACGTATAGTATAATATATAATATAGATATAGTATTATATATATATACATATGTAATATATATATATATCATATGTAGTATATATATATATATCATATGTAATATATATAATATGTATGTATATATATATATATACATATGTAATATATATAATATGTAATATATATAATATGTAATATATATATAATATGTATATAGCCAAAACTAATCATTTCAGTGGCAAAATAATCTGGGCTTCCCAGTTTTGTGTCATGGCCGTTTCATCATGGCAGCTCCGCGCTGATGTTGGAGGACAACTCATCCTTTGCTTCGAAGGCTTCATCGATGTCCATCTTCGGCACCTGAAGTGAAGCCAGCGAATCGGGAAACTCTTGACCCATACCCTGATGCTGTCAACCACCAAGAATGGGACTTGAAGGTTGCAGCAAAACCGAAGGAAAATCATCCTAAAATAGTGTTTGAAAGTGGTCAACAAATAAATATTGAATAACTGGCTTAAAGATGCGGGTTGGCTGACTGCTGGTTCAGTGGGGATTATGAACTACGTAATCCATTGTGGGAATCCTGCCAACCAACCAGTTGAAGGGTTTACACCATATGGGATGAGGATTTGACCAGCTCCACCAGGGGAAAAATGGCATCTCCGTTGCGCACCTTGCTGCGCACGATGTTCGAGACATAGGCCTCAATCTGATCGCTCACCTCAGCAATATTTGTCATGGTGAAATCCCCATTTATGGTGGGTAAACTACCAATATTTAAATATTTACAATATGGGGTGGCATTTAAGATTGGAGTTTCACAAAGATCCGGGTGTGTCCAACTTGGCAGTACCAGTATGGAAGAACATTCTCAGCATGTAAATGTCCAGCCCGCTGGTCTTTCTTGGGGTTTACACCACCTGGCCAAGCAACGCTCGCCAATTTGTAAATCCTGAGTGGCACGACGTGCAACGAAAGATGTGGTGGGAGCCTGGCAGTCTTCATCTCAAGGAAGTCATCTACCCTATCTTGGACCCTTCAACTGGAAGTTTCGTGTTGAATCTCTCCTACTTGTTCCCCAATTCCTGGATCATACCTTAGGGAAACGGGAAGCCTGAAGAGAGGAAATCCTGTACACAGTGGCTTCAAAGTACCGTCTCAGGTTTCAACAGATTGACCAAACTTCAGCAGTCGCCAAGACATGTAATATCAAAATCCAATATAGAAATTTGAAAGTCTAGACTTCAATGATCATTGATTTATCCTCTGCAAAATGGTCTAACAAGGTGACCGCCAATCAACAACCAGAACCATAGGTGCCATAGGTCATATTCCCACCATGTATTATACCGAAATCCCCTACCCCTTGGTGTTCCACGTCTCACATTTGGGTGTGGGTCAAGTCATTGTGTGCCCCTGGAATTGTTGCCCATGGTCCACTGAGTCTCAATGTGTTTTTTCTGTTGAAATCCACCTGTTAAAACACCATGGTTTACCACTTTTGCTCATTCCCACTTTCATATTTCCACAATGTTGCTTCAACAGGTTTGTTGGTTCCCAAAAGGATTCTTGGTTTAACATGGTTTAACCACGACTTTACCAAGAGACTTCCACTCGTTGGTTGGTTTTTCCCCTCGTTGCTCCTCAACCCACCACCAACCTGGCAGGCAAGCAGCGCGTCTTCGCACTGTTGGCCATTCACTGCGAACTGTACCGAGATGTGGACAGTGCAGAAGACGTTGTCCTTTACCCAGCGTGATGATTCTTGAAATGTCTTATGAAAAGGAGATGTGATGGATATGAACCATCAAAATCAATGATTTATTATTTATGGGATGTTAATCATCAAAATCATTGGCTTGGGGGACGTTAATCATAAGAATCATTGGTTTTACACCTGGAAATTTATGACATGCAATTGGCAATATGTCATGGAAAATCTACAGGAAAGCAAGACTCTTTACATGAAACATGGACTTTCTTAAACTTATTTTTTCCCTTCAACAAATCCCATGGGTGGAGGTACTTGGATCTGCATCCGGTCTAGAATCCCTATTAATGAATGGACCCAATACATCCTAGGGTTTCGTTTGATGGTATTTTTTGGGGAAAGGGATTAGATTGAAACCACGGAGAATAAACCCTGGACTTACGTAGACATCTAGATATCTAGATATCTATATATCTATATATATACACACAGTACATACACATACATGTATAAGTATAAGGGTGTATTACGCGATTACACGTACATGTCTGTCCTTTGCCAGAACTGATGCGGATTCGGCAGCCAATCATCAAACCATTCATGCATGAACAAAACCGGTTCAAAGCATCTGGTAAATCCCCGTTAGATATCCATTATATAATAAAATATCCCAATATATAGCACCATTTTGATTGAGTCACGGTGATTGATGCTTAAATCACCATTGTTGCTGCTCAAACCAGTCCTGAAAATCAATGGTTAAATATACCATGCACCATTATATACCCAATATATTGGGATAATATACCATCATCATCGATGGATAAATCATGTGAAATCCCATGAGGACCGCCATTCTTCGCCATGACTTTCCATTGGGATTCTCCGATTTTCCCAATCGCCCCGAGCCTTGCTCTTGGTGGTCACCTTGACCTCCAACTGTTGCGTGCGTCCAGAGATGGACCGCAAGGCCACACAGAGCCCGGCAACGTCGACTGGGCAGAAGTGAGTGGAGGAAAAAAATGGGGAGCGGAACTGGATTTTTGCCCCCCAAAAAAAAATCTGGCTTTTTAGATGGATTTGGTTTACCCCCTAAAGATTCTAATAGCAGTCAAACTGACCCAGAAAAATCAATCACTGAGTATCGAAAATCATCAACAATACGTGCGCAGATCATGAATAACGAACTGGTTTAACTGCCGAAAATATTGGCCCCAATATTTGATATGCCAATGACCTGGTTGAGCAATGGATTATTGGATCTATTCATTTGAGGGTCATTTCAGGGACATGTTTTGATATTTGGGGGAAAGGATTACAAGACAGATAGGATTTTCATGGATGTTACCACTGTTTCTTCCCTGCTTCTTGTGGATGTGGGACAAAATTGATTACTAATCAAATGGCTTCAGATTGGTCTATAGTAGTCACGACTGGTCAACTGGGTATTGTCTGGAAGTTTGTGAGATTGACTACAAATCAGTTAGCCTACATTAAATATGGGTCAAGAATGCTTAATAGTCAACCAAGTAATGTGTATCATCAACTATCATCAACAATTCATATATATATATAATTCATATATGTATAATATTATATATATGCATATATATATAATATACGTACGTATATAATAATATATACACATATATCACATATGATATGTAACATAATATATGTACATATATTACAGCAAAACTGGGATTGACGATCGCTCGAAACGACCGGTCCATCTGTGGCCCGTCGATGATTTTGATCCGAGGCTAGGTCCGAGGATTTTCTCAAGCGGTACCCAAGAAATGGAACGGGTCCAAACCAATGATATGTCGGACCGGGGTGAAGCCGGATCAACATCCATAATATGGTGGCTACAGACCAAGGGGGCCAGGGTGAATAGACACATCGAAGGAGTCGGCTCCCTCTTTTTTGCTTCGCAAACTCGCAACTCGCTCCATCTGTCCCCAGTCAAAATGAAGCGGGGCAAGCAGCATTGTGCAGCCCTCAGCTTATGCATCCTCGCACCAACGGTTCTCCTCACGTACCTGCGCTTCCTCTTCAGGCGTGAAGTCATTCACGATGTTGAACTGCTTGCGAATCTCCTGAAGTTAGGAGCCGCAAAGTTCATCAGTCTCATTGGTTTTCATGGTTTCTTTTGAAGGAATTCATGTAATGGTCATTAATGGTCAATATTTATATATTTGAGGATGGGAAATCTCTAGGGTTCCAGCACTCCTCAGTATTCTTGCCCTTGATCATAGAGGCGACCTTGGCGCAAGTCAAGTCCAAGAGGCTCTTGATATCCTCAGCGCGGCCAGGGTTTTAGGTGTCGTCATGAATGTTTCATCAGAAAGTGCCCCTTTCCTCCAGCTGTTTCCTTTGCAGACCGTCCACTTCGGATCCTGATGATTCAGGCAGTACCCAGAATTGGTTTCGGCAATTCATCCAAGTCTCCAAGTAGTTGGCAGCCAGGATCAGTTCAAAGAGAACCTTAGCCCGCACAACAGCCTCCTTCCCATCTTATGCGGCACTTCTAGGCCTGAATGATTTACCTTAAAAGGAACGGAGTGGCTGACATTCCGTCCGAAGCACATGACATAGGGCTTTTTGAGCCCACCTTCCAGTCCGTGACCACTTCCTACCACTGGACATTTATATTATGGATATATACATTTTATACACTGGCTATGGGTCCCCAAAACCCTGGTGTAGCCCCCAAGGCTGCGATTTTCCAATGGGAGTTGACCCATCTCCACAATACAGTAGCGACTTGTTCCGTTGATGCTACAACCCTCAAACGCCAAGAGCAAAGTGAAGTCGTTCAGAAAGGCAAAATGTTTCAGGCAGGGCAACTTCTTGCTCGATGTTCACCTCAGATACAGCTGTTGTAAAAAGCAAATCTCAGCAGCCAGCAAATCTCAGAAGTCTGTCACTATGTTCGTGCAGGCATTTAAAAAAAAAAAAAGCTGAAGTTACAGGCCTACATCTTGTTCTTCAGGATCTGGCTTCGTGTCGAATGATATTGTGATTCCATGAGGGCAAGACATGCTCATGTTGACCCTACGTTCTGAAAACGCTTGGAGGGACCTGTCTGATCCAATGTCTTGACTATGAAATTCATCCACCTGGGACCTGGACCTGAAACAAGGATAACAAGGTGATTTTGGGATAATTCCCTCTACCAACTTTGACGAAGCCCAAAAAAATATGGTGACATAGTGGTGAGGTTGTGATTATGATTCACCTTGGCTTTTCCATGGCTTTCCATTGGGTTTTCCATTGTTTTCCATGGTTTCCAGGTTTCCACCTTGAAGTTTGCCTCAAAGGTACGTACTCATTGTCCCACTCGGAGACACCGCATTCCACCTGGCTTGAAAGCCAGCACGGACTGCTACGGAAATCAAGAAACTCGACACTGCCAAATGACCAGTGACCAGCAAAAACGACGGAAAAGATGACTGAAGAGTTCTCAAATGTATTCAAATGTCTAGGATTCGCAAATATGTGTTTCAAAATGCATAAAACAATCACAAGAATCATGATTGCTATGAATCACATGTAAACAGTAAACAGTAAACATATACATTCATTAATATAAACAGTAAACAACCAGATCGATGTCGGATTCTTCTCCAAGGCGCCAAATTGGTGCTCTTCAAAGGCTTCTGAATCTCCTCAGGTGGGCTATCCTTATGGTACTTGCAATAGTCGATGACCTTGCTGAGGATGGCCGTCTTCACATTGGGCAAGGGAATCTCTTCATCAGTGCCACTATCATCCACCATGTTCCTGCCGTCGACATTCGGATGGCTTAAAAATCGGGTACTTTTAGGCTCATTGTTTAGGTGAGTTGTAGATTCTTGGGCTGAGACTGCCATCTGTTAGTACGAAACCCTTCGATGGAATCCGATGTTACGGCAATCCATGGTGATCCACAATGCCATCCAGTTCCATGATCCATTGTTTGCTGTGGCCCAGGTTCCATGTGCCAACTGCTCCCCATAGCCAAACTGTCCTCACCAGGGTTGACATGCATGCAACCTCGGGCTCGACCTCAAAGATTTCGCCCTGGGAAGATTTGAGCAAGACTTTGTCACCTGGCCAACTGGACGCCGGCAGACGCCCATGGCAGACTAGGTCACCTGGGTCACCTGGGTCACCTGGGTCACTGGGTGGTAAAGAATACTGCTAGCCTGGGCCTGGTGGCAGTTTTTCCAGCTATTTCTTGCTTTATCTGCGGAAATAGTCCGTCCAAATTACAGTAGATGATGCCACATTCCCATTTGCAATGGCCTGATTTCAAGATTGCGAGATGATCTTGATCAAATGGTTTTTGAACATGATATGAAGAGGGAGGGGCGACAAAAAGATACTTCCACAATCTTACACAAACGGGGTCTACAGCTAAATTTGATTAAATTTGGGTCAAGCAGTTGCATCCAGCCCTGTTGCCTTCTGGCATGGCTCACAAGATTCCTTGGAACTACCCAGCGAAGACGCTAGACACGGCAACCGTGGAACTCGAGCAGAAAAAGCTGCGAAAGTCAGATGATCACTAGGCTTACAGAGTCCTTGAATGGACCACAGCCTGAATGTTCATCTCCCATCTCCCATGATGTACCGTAATTTTAGCGTGCTCTCCCTCAGGATAGGAATCGCCCTGACAGAATCAGTAGGTCTGCCGGTTTCTATGTGATTTTATCAGGAGAATGTGATCCAAAGCGAACCCAGAAATAAAACCAGTGGGCGAAGGCGGCCAAGGTGCAGCCAGCCCAGTTCAAGCCCGGCCGGAGCGTCTTGTAGGATCTGCCGAAGTATTCCACAGTCACATATTTGTCCTGCTTGGATGACGGCCCTCCCAGTGACTTTGCCGGGTGCCCTTGAATGGTGTTGGACCATCATCCAAGACCCTGTCTTTCCTGGGTGGGTTTAGAGTCAACTGAGGATTATAATCCCAAATCAGGACGGGAAAAATAATGAAGCCACATGCCAGTTTTGGTGCATACATTTGTATCACTCTATCATACTCTATCTCTCAAGTTGATGTCCCCACCATGTATCTCATCATATGTGATGTGCCTTGAAAGCACTGGTTCTGCTGGTGGAGTTCCCCCCCGGCCCCCCAACAAGAACCTCCCAGCCACCCAACCTGCGGCACCGCCACACAGCCTGGGTTTACCACATGGCAACCACTGGTCGATCCATTAGGGGACTTGGTAGGATCCACTCGTGATTAACCCCTAATCATCACGACTCTCTCTCTCTCTCTCTTTTGGGGAAATCCCTAAATCTGGAGGTAAAATCGCAAGTGGGCATGTAATCACCTAGTGTGGGTCAAATTTGGTGCCCCCGAAATTGGATGTTTTACATTGTTTTACTACTAACTGGCTCACTGGTCAGCACTTCTGGTGCCCTGATACTTGCACACGCGTTTCCAGCCATGTGAATTCTATAGTACAATGGGATTCAAATATCCCTAAATAAAACAAATAAACAAGATTGGACAAGGATCTTTATCTTTCAGGGGCCTGGAAGGTTAAGCCATTGAGAATCGATTGGCTACCAGGACTTGTGCCCCAGCTCCAAGCAGTGAGACCCTGAGCACCAGCTGAGGAGCAGTTGAAGCAGGGAATGCAACCGCGCTCATGACGTACCAAGCTCATGGCACTTAGGCAAAAGGCCACAAATAACAGGTCGACACTTTGAAAATGATACCAAGTTGTGTGTGTGTGTGTACTGTATGTGCGTATGTTTTTGCTGCCTTGTTCCACTCCCTTCAGAGTTCTGATGAAGCACTTGAATCTAGCATTCCAATATGGCGGCTGGGTCCAGCTCAAAAAGTTGCTTCACAAAGCATCAGCTGCCAATGTTTCTCGCAACAGAGCCACACATTTCTGCGTTCGAAGTGGAGTGGTACCCGCTGAGTGCCCCAGAACTGGGATTGGCAAAAGGCTGAAACCGGGAGGAGGCCGGCATCCTCCAGTGGACTCCGTAAGAGCTCGGGTGGCAGATAGTCATCCACCTGGGGGAAGGCATGGGAGTGCCAGCATGGGAGTGCCATTCGGGTGCCATTCGGATCTGGGAAAAAAACACGAATCCGAGATCTGCGATGAATCCCTAACCTGATTTAAGGATATTCTCAGCTCGTTTGAGGTTGCTACATTGCAAATGAAAGGCCGCTGAAGGCGCTGCGGGGGTTGAGCAAACAACACTGGCTCATATCTGACCTATCAAGGATGATTCTAGGTGAAATTCACGTACCTCGGCGTAACTTGCATCATTCCAACAATGAAAAGCGCAAACATGTTCATTTGGGGTTCTTACACGCCCAAACCCACATACGTGGACAAGACAATTTCCAAGTTGGCCAGGTTGCCAGAAGCCCCAACCAGCCCATATGATTGTGCCATATTGTGCCCCTGTTCTATGAACCAATTAGGCCTTCAATGTAAATATCTGCTACTTTCATGCAGGGATTCCCATCCTCTTCATCTGAAGCCTGGTTACCAGACAGCATGATGCGCCAAACTTTCCTCAACCTGGGTCTAAAACATCTGGAATCTGATGGTTTTAAAGTTTCACCTCCCCCCCCCGTTTTCCACCATTTTGGATGGCGCTTTATTGGGTCTACCGGCCCTTGGGCTTTGGAGCCTTGTTGTATCGTTCACGGCAAAAGAGATGGAAGCACAAGCCACCTTGTGTGCGACCTGCGGGCGCCAACCCTTTCCCCTGGATGAGCTAAAAGGATTTGGAAAAATCCTACTGAAATAGTGGCTAAACTATGCTTCACACATTGTATACAATATAACTGACTATTCTATCTCTTTGATCTCTTTGGGGGTTGCTATATCTATACTGGTCGCATCACATCTCCCATGGTTTTTCCATCTCCAGCAGCCTGCTCGTCCGGCACGCTGCTTGGCGGAGGCCTGGCAAAATCCCGTGGTAGGAAAGGGTAGAACCGTCAAACAAGGTGATCCCTCTTCCAAGCAAGGTGTGCAAGTAAGGTCAGCAAGGGTCCCAAGGTTCTCAAAGTAAAGCTCCCAAGAAAGAAACCCTGGCAATGTCCAAGGAAAGTTTTTGGAGCAATGTGTCGAGCAAAACTGCCAAAGTGGGGGTACCACTAAATCATCAGAAATCATCAATTTTCATAGGATGTCCTATCGCCAACTATTTTGGGGACCCCCCATTGATGGAACCCCCAGTTTCGTTTTCAAAACATCACGGGCCGTTAGAACGTGCCCCCGCCTTCGAGATCCAAGAGGTGGTCAAGGTTCCCACCTGTCTGGGATGTCTGCTTTCGAACCAAATTTGCACTTCCACCGGAAGAGCTGTTGGCATTTGGTTCTGGTTGGAAAAAAATGGGGTGTACCATGGTGTACCATTGTATGGCCAATTTGCTGTAACTTGCTCTTCTTGGATCTTCGATCATCATTTCCAGCCATTCCCCATCCTGCCCACCCAAATCCATTGATACATTGCTAAAACCCTGGTAATACTGCATCGGCTTAGTTCACCCACCATGCTTCTTAGTTGAAAGCCATTGAACCCTCCAGGAATTCTGCTGGATCACACATGGTTATGTAGTTTCCGGTTGTGTACGGGATATTATCCCACAATTATCCTCAATTATTCCCACTATAGATGTCTGCTATTTCAGCGTTCGTCTGGAAAGATGCCACACCTCAAATCCAAGGATTCATCATCTGGGTCCCTTATTAGATGTCCAACCTCCATGAATTGCTCAGCATATATCCCAGCTACGTACTACATATCCATATATAGTACCATATATCCATATATAGTAGCATATATCCATATATAGTACCATATATCCATATATAGTACCATATATCCATATATAGTACCATATATCCATATATAGTACCATATATCCCAATGTGATTTCCATGTCATCCCAAGCACCTTGAGGTAGGGATCGTAGCTCACCTCTTTAGCCCTCGCCGAGTCGATGACGAACTCGGTGCCCTCCACGGTGATGGAGGCCTGGTTGCTGTGTGTTGGATATGATATGGGAAACATAACAGATATGAATATAAATATGAATATATACATATATATATATACATACGTATATAATCATTAGTCAAATCATTAGTGAATCATTAGTGAATCATTAGTGAATCATTAGTGATATATTGGATCACTTATGACTTATGATGAAACATAATGATCGAAATGATCATTAGTGATATATTATGGATACTTGGATAACTTATGTGACTAGATAATGATATGATTAGTAGATATTAATGATTATTATATAGTCACATTGGATAACTTATGTCTGCATAATATGATCATATGTTGATTACTGCGTATGTGTTGATTGTTGGATAACTTACGGCAGATAATGATTAGATTATTAGATCATATGTTGATATTTATGCTCATTACGGGTTTTATCATTTTCTATTGTTGTTATTATTGAATCGCCGTTACTGATTGATGTGATAATATGACTGCGATTAATTATTGTTGTATCTGTATATTGTGTCAACATGCAAAGATACACATTGATATCACCAAGAATGGAGAAAATCAGAAATCAAGCGCCATTAGTTGGGGATAATCCTGGACAAATGGAGGCCAAGGTAGTTCTTACCCTCCAACAACATGGAAATCAAGAGCCCAAAGTGGGGATACTAAAATCCTTGGCAGTCCTAACTAATCCTAACTAGGGATTTCACCGGCCAGAAAAACAGGGATAAGGGATACAACCTACCCCGTACGGAGTGCAAGCGTTGCTGTATGTGCGGCCCTTGATACCTCGGCAATGTTGGTGGTCAACACGATCTTCCGCACTCCCGATGGCGCTGGTTCAAAGATTTCTTGCTGTTGTTGAGGGGTCACCTGCGCAACAGCAGGAGCATGACTGGAAAATGCAGGAAACCAGAAATGCGTCCCTTCTTGACAAAAAAGGGAAACAGCATGACTTCAAATTCTGTCTGTGGGTCCTTTTGACTGATAGGCAGGCGGTAGCATGTGCAAAAATGCAGAATGGTGGATCCCTGCTGGCCACTTCTGTTGTGAGCATTTAGTGTCTGGTGACTGCCAAAGTTGATACCCACCAGTCATGGCACTGCCTCAAGCACCAGTCGCACCTGCGAGTGAAGTGGTAAGATCTTAAATCTCTTCGGGTCAAAGTTCTGTGCCAAGCGCTTCTGCAATGTATCCTGCAGCGCCAACCCTGAACCCAGCACGTCATCACCAAAAGATATTGATGTAGCCCTTGAGAGTTGGTTTTGTAACAACAAGTAGCATCTCCAAACTTGCAAATCTGGTGACCTGGTACTTTCCAAAGAGTCTTGCATCCCAAATCCTAGCAAAACTTGTCTGATTTGGGCATAGGCCAATCTGGGATGCATAACAATGGTTTGTATCTGGTGTCCCCCAGGGTAACATAATTGGAAGGTCCAAAAAGTGTGGAGTCTTCATAAGATTTTTAACTCACGCGACTTCTGTCTGTTTCACTGTTTCCCACGTCGTTCTCTGCTAGGTGACTGGCCAGTGGTGGTCTAACCAATGCAACTGTCAACAACCAGACTCATGTTTCTTTTGAGGTGGCATTCCACTGCATCATGGAAATGTATCACAAGATCCTCCCACCTGCAGGTATCACGCATTCTAAGACACCAGACTGCGTCAATCTTCCGACGAACATTCTTGACAAGGTCATGATCATTTGTCTATGGGTCACAACCAGAGTATCAAAGGACCCATACAAGCTTTGTCATGCTTTGTATTTTATTTGGTCCATTTTTGGAAATGGTCCATAGCCATTTGTGATTTTGTGATTTCCCATGGATTATAATCTTCCCCAATATACCATATGTGGTAATCCCAAAAAAATCTTGGATCTGGCTGAATCAAAAAGTCATTCATTCACCTGAAAATAGAAGCCTTTACTGTCGGGCTATTTGGGGATGATTCCCCTAATCCTAACCGTCATTCCAGTGACGTCACAGTGAGGTCAATGGTCGCAGCTGAGCCCTGGGGCCCCTGGGGCCCGAACGATGTCGCCCCAACCAGGCAGGAAGACCAGGATGGTGCCGGCAGGTTTCTCCTCTCGAAACGGGCCATCCTGACCCCATGACCCCAAAGTTTGGGAAAGTTTGATGGAAACCCTGTTTTTTTTGCATGTGATGTTTGTCTTCAAACGAATTCTGGAGCATGAAGTTTTATGAGGATTCGTACACTGTGAATCCAGACAAACAAAGTTTCAACCACTAGAATCAGTAGATAGTTTTACCACTGGCTCGATGCATCTTCCTTTCAGGTACATAGTGCTCACATCCGAATATGGCCATTAAAACATATGAAAACTATGACATTCATAAAATTCTGCCCAGTAGAAGGATGATGAGATGGATCTGTCTGTCCTGCTATAATTATAAAAAGCAGATAAAACATAGTTGTTCATGTGAAATTTAGCCAGCTGTGAGTCCTTATAACATCACAACCTAACGCCTCAGCATTCCCATCATATAGCCAGCAAGCGCCTCAGTCTGGTCTTTCTGGGCATCCTTGTACATCCTGCAGCGGAGGCGAATCCACAAAACGTGGACTTTCTGAATCAGCCTGTTGGCACAACCTTCCAATATGAAGCTACCCATTCTACAGGATTGCGCACACTTCACGTCCAGCATCTTTTTTTCACCTTTGAACCTCGGAGGTAAAAAGCCACTTTCAGCGGCAAAGCTGCAAAATCGATCAAAAATCCTTGGGCCAAACTCAAACTACGAAACTACGTCAGAATGGGAAACACCTCTGGGCGTGCCAGAGCGCGCAACGGTCGTATCCAAGCGCATCTGTTCCCCATGTGTCGTAGCACAGCCTTCCTGTTCCAGGAAGGACGGGTTGAATGAGTTTGCTGGCAACACGTTGAATGGGGGGTTGTTCACTTTTTTGGTGGGGGTAATCTTAGTGGTAGTCTTATCCTAGCACAACTTCAGGCATGCTGAGGTGATGCTGAAATTGAGTAGCTGATTGTGGACGGGACCCCCCTTCTCCTATTCACTGATGCCTCTGCTCGACGTGGCCCTTGCCAAGCCAGCACAACTGCATGGTCCAACAACTGTAAGTCAACTGGCTGTATCCAAACAATGGAAACCCAACATCCTACCATTGTGCGATCTAAGTGACCCATGGTGAAATCAATGGATTTGGGTTCCCCCATATTACACAGCTCCATCACGTCATCACGTGATGGTTGAACCATGCTGGATGGAGCAACCAGGGCATCCTCTGGCCACCTTTTCCCATCTACCCGGCCCCCTGAGGGCCACCTTTTCAGAGCCCGTGTCAGATACCAAGCGATCAACCCCTGGCTGGTGATGGTGATGATGCTACTCTTTCTAGAAAAATGATATGTAATGAATTGTAATGATAAGAATAATGAAGTATATAAACTTGAGTAAACTTGAGTAAACTATCCCCTTCGGGAGTCCAACCCAGGACCCAGGTCTGCTCCATCTTCATCTGAGTCATGACTTGCGAGCACCCAAATCACATGGATGTCGATTTCGAGAAAAACAAAAGTATGGCATGGTAGCTGTCACATCGGAGCCCGGATACTGGGTTGTCCTAAAATAGGGCACCGGCAAATCCAATTTTTGATCACCACCTTCACATTCGAATCATCATGTATTGTATAATACTGTATATAGTTATATAGCGCATCCTGCCCTATGTTTGGACAAACCCATCAGGTACTGGATTCCTGGATACTTGGAGCCACTCACGTGAGACTCACGTGAGCAGGCCAGCGGATCCCTTCCAAGTCGTGGTGTCCCATTGCCAAGCAGACCCAAGCTTGAAAGCATTCTCAAGATTGAGTAAACTTGAGCTGCTTCAGACCCAGTAAGCTTCTTAGATGCTCTCCATGTCCAACTTTCCAGTGGATCACCATGTTCAACTTTGTTTATCTAAATGGACCTGTGAAATACTTAGTGAAATCCTGTGAATAAGTGATTATTCAATATTATTCATTGCATATTGCCATGTTTGACTAGCAAAGGGTATACAGTAATAGACAGTACAGATCTGATCTCCAGTGATTGGGTCATATTGTGTCCTTGTCTGGAGCAAAGCCAAGCAGTGTTGTAATATTCCCTGGAAGGAAAATAGTTGTGGAATGATCTAAATATGCCATAATACGCCTACATAAATGAGTGGCAAACTGACTTCCAGCAGGGATGATTCATGACCCATCCTACATCCCACTTGGACAACAGCAGCCTTAGACGGCAGCAATTCTGGAAGCTTGGCAATGTGCAGGGCATCCGGCTTGCCCTTGTCCAGACCTAACAAAACTATGCAAAACTGGGCAAAAATATCATCGACGGTTCTCTGATCCATCGATGTGTGCACTAAATTGAATGCGTCGATCCACGGCAGAGGGATCAAAATCACATGGTCAAAAGTCAAAACCTCTATTTTTCTTGGTGAAATCTTCACATTGTCCTTCTGCGCGGACAACAGCAAGTGATCTTCACTGTAAGATACTGAGCAATTCTTCCTTCAGTTGCTGTCCCTTGCTCTAGGCATGCATTTCAAGGCCCGTCGCCAAGGTGAAACTTGCCGGAGTCTAGCAGGGGGTGCAAGTGAAGGGTCGAAAAAAATACCATGCATTTGGTGTGCGAACCATCCCGCCAGCTGCAAGGGCGCCGAGGGGACTCGGTCAGAGCGAGTTTGCAGCGGAGACTCGCGTTGGGATTACTGAGTTGCCGGACAGCCTGGGCCGATTCCTTAAAAGAATGACTAGCTGAGCTAAACTCATTAAGAAATCAGACGTGTGCTCCACAGAGAGTTTCTTTGTTGGGTTTTGCACAATTATTTTGCTCACAGTCTCAATAAGATGCTCACATGCCAAGGTGTACTGTCATGAGCTGCACAAAGAAACCAGTGCAAACCCATAGAAAAAAAATGCAGTATAATTATCTAGATTTATCTAGTATCTAGTGCATCTTTTTGATGAATGGCTGTGCCTGAAAATAAAGTACCAAGTACATCCAAGTACCGCAAAATCCACTGGTTGATCAGAATTTCCCCATTTGAAATGGCCATTTTGGGGGGACCCGGGATACCTGGTTTTCAGACCCAAATGGTCCAAACATGGCCCCTTGGGCCATCGTAGTAGCTTCCAGAAGGCTCTAGAACGGTGGCCACTCTTTTGTCAATGGCTCCCTCCAATCTACTTGTTCGGGTCGCCAAAATCAAAGCACTTCAACGATTGCATAGACCTCCAAAAAAAAAAATTGAGAGCTCCCTTCCGTAGTAAGTGTTCATTTAAACGAATAATGGGCTCTATTGATCGCAGTTCAATTGAAAGTCGAGAACAAAAGGATGCCCATATCAAACTTGGGGCCACCATGCATAGAGACAAGATGCCAAACCAGACAGGAGACAATGCAAGGAGACAAGCTCGACGGCGCACTGGACAGTTCTGGCCACCCTGACTTTACAAGAAGAAAGAATACTTCCAAATTAAGCCACTCCCTGCAGTGTCAAAAAAAACCGGTCGTTGATAACTATGAAGGGTGATACTTCCCTTTATACCTTGAGCATGTTCTTAATCCATGGGAATTGCCACAAAATCCAACCGTTTAGGCCGCAAACTCTTTCTGGCTCGATCCTCAGAGTGCCCCCAGCAAAGTGGCCGGCCGGCCACTGCCCATGGCACTCAGGGAGGCCGCGCAGCTCTCGTTGAAGGGGGGCATGCTGGACACCGTGGCCACGAAACTGCGGACCAGGCGCGGGGGAATCTGCTCGTCCAGATTCACCTGTCAAGGCGAAGGACAAAAGGCTGGTCAGCTGGTCCGACCACACCAGCAATTTTGGGGAAAAAAAATTGACCCAGACCCACCATTGACAAATTGAAGTCAAGTAAACGCTGTTCCTATCCTTCAGGGGTGGTAAATCACCTTGTCGATGATGAGAAGTTCCATTCAACCAACCAGAAGAACTGGTTGAACACCAGATGTTTGATGATTTTTGCAAAGTTCCCACCTCCTCCTCATCATATTCATCCATGGGAGAAGGAATGTCATGGTTCATGCCCAAGAGCACTTCGCTCATGTCGATACCGCAAGGTAACCTGGTGCTGGTGGTCAACCACCCCAGGAAAATACTGGCCTTACCATCATGGGTGGGGTTTCATTCTAGTCCGAAATTCTATACAAAACATTATACAACCAACCAAAATACACAAGAAAAAGACGTTTGAATCGCCATCCAGGAACTTCTGGTTGAGCCTCTCATTCGTCAGAGTCTCAGCCGCATGAACCAGGTCCTTCACACCACGTCTTGCACTGGATGCCATGCGCGGAAAGCGAGTCACCCAGTTTGGGACTGCTCTGCCAACCAAATATTGACAAAGCGCTTCTGCAAAACTGCAGCAGTTTCGCTCCAGCATGTCATAGTCCCCTCCCAGCCACTGCTTGGACATCACCTTCTGCATAAAACGCTGCACTTCGTGTTCGGGGTAACAGGTGTTGCCCATGGGGATGGAGCTGCGGTAGACGTGAACCTCATGTTGCCTGGGTTCCTGGCATTCAATGCCCTCCTGGCCGAAGTACCACTCCTTGCCATGCACCTCCACCCCTGCGTGAAAGGCACCGCCGATGTTCAAAACGTCCTTGGAGATGTGGTTACTCTGCAGCCACTCCTCGTTCAGGTCGTAGATGTTCAGGAAAACCTTAGTTGCCGGTTTTTTTTTCAGTGAATCCTTGCCCTCCAAAAAAACGTTGTGGTTGAGGGAGATTGTCATGCCAACAGAAAGTCGAACATGCCAGATATTTGGAAGAAACAAATCCGCTATTTGATATGAAAAGTCAACCACTGAAAGTCTTTCCACTTAGGAGACTCAACACCAAAAAAGAACCTGATTGTGGACCAAGAGAAACAGTGGCATTGCCAAAGACATCACCATCTACGTCATATTCATCCTGTTCTTCTCGGCAACGGCACGGCTGAACGTGGACGTTTCCCATTGCGAGCTAGCAAGTGTCGGAGAAAAGGCTGGCCAGTCCGAAAATCACCTTCATGCAGGGGGTGGTGTCATTAGCCTCAAGTCTAAAGTCAATGGTCCAATGGTAGCTTCCCAATGTTTCCCAGTTGGAATCTCTGGTGAGTTGTAACTTGCCTGCGGCTATGTGCAGAGCCTGTGCGTTGCTCAAAGCCGGGAACGTCTGCAGCTGGTGCTTCAAAAGCCGTACCCTTGGCTTTAAGGTAGAACTTACAGGAAACCCTGGAAACCCTGGTGTTTAGTGTGTACAATGCATTGTGAAAAATTTGTGAATATCCTGCACCTGTTCTTTTCATCCAAAGCCCGTTCAAGAAGTAACACTTAGTATCAAGTTTAGCGGGACCAAGAACCAACCGCCAGGACCTCAAGCCATGGCCCCACTCACCCACAACGAGCCTGTCAATATGAAGGATCAACGCCTGACGGCGAACCAAGCAGTGCGATTGTGGAATAGACAGTACCTTGGGGATGTGTGTTTGTCCAGAACTGGGCGGGAGACCCTAATTTCTGGCTAGATTGATAGGGAAAATCGGCATTAACCACTCGATTCCGGGGCACCTTATATTTGGATAAACCCGTGTTGACACAAGGAGCATACTTGCTACACTTGCTACAGAGTCCCATTTCCACTGTGCAGAAAATCAGGGATGCGACCTGTTTGAGGCGCCCCTTTATCCATCGCTAGACCTAAATGGTTCTGTTTTTTGTCACCCGCTTTCCTGCATTTGAAGCTGGCATGTTCAATTCTACCCTCTGGTAATCAGTTCCATGGCCAGGAAAATATCATAAAATATCCCAGAGTTCCAGGATTTTTGTCGCATTGAATCACATTAAATCCTCCATGTTAGTTTTACCAAAGGGTATACTTCCACAGCTCCAACATCATGCCCACCTCGATGATTGGATAGTCGAAGGCGAGACTACTCCTAGCCGAGACGTTTCGAAGCTGGCACGTTGAGGTCTCTGCAGCTCTGGCAGGTTCTGATGTCAGCAGCTACTTACCCTCTGGTAAGCTAACATAACTATGGAAAATCACCCTTTTTATAAGTAAATTGACTATAACTGACCATTTTCAATAGCTATGTTAGTTTACCAGAGGATAATGATTTTCACCTTCAAATATGTAGCAGTTTTATGGCTCTCATGTTCTAAACATTCATGACACCGTCTCATACGTTTGAAAACACCATGTGAACAAAACATGGTTGAATGATGTTGAATGACAGAGTGCATTGGAAAATCGACCTCTTTGGGGATGCTACATCTCTTCTATCCAAATTCAGCTGTTGAAAATCGGTGAAATTGGTGAAATCTGCTGGCGCTTTAAATCCGAGTCGCTGTTGCAGCACATCGTGCTTACGCAGACCATCGAGGAGCCGGGCACGGGACATGTTGGCTAGCCTGGCGGCCAGGGCTCCTGTTGTTTGATCCTGTTAAAGTATCCACAACTTAGGGCACAGTCCATTTCCAAGCAAGCCGATCTGACCCATGTTTTACATTGCTCAACCAATGCTTGTTATGTAATGCTATCCATTCAGCCAAACCCAAGCCTCCTGAGTACAAAAAGAAAGAAAAGGGTTTGGTGAATCCCGCATTTTTAACCTTTCAAACTTGCATAGCCTAGCCTCAATCGATAGTTGTTGGTGTCGTGATTCTCCTTTCATGGGATGTGCAAATTTCACAGTTCGCCATATTTATATGTATATACATATCACATTTCACCAGCCCTTTTTTCGACCCAAGGGTCGAAGTCGTGCCAGGTTCACATTTGGCTCTCAAGGCCTTTCTCTCTCAAACCCCACAAGGACTCACGGTCCTGGCCGGCCACTGGCCCCAGCACCCGAAAACCCAGATAGGTTTGAAAATGTAGACCTCCCAAAAGAAGCAATTTCAATAGGGAGTTATGATTAAGCATTAGATTTTGGGTACCCTATTTTCAAACAAACCCCAATGATAGTGTGGTTTGGTCTCCCAAATGTATGACCCCCAAAACCGTGTTGGGGTTTTGCCCAAAAACAGACCCTAAATGTAATGGTCATACATTGGGCGCACTGTTCAAAATCCACCATCTTTGGTTCTGGTATGCTCAGATGAAGAACATCCATCACCCTGTGTTGGGCAGATCCAAATTGAATCATGCACTTGGTCCTCAGGTTTGGTGTGCCTGAAGACAACTGTCCTCAGACCAAGAGACACACACTAAAATCAGATCTCCCTTTGATGGGTGTTCAAATAGCCAGGTTCCCTACCTTTGTATAGGATCGATGTGCATAGACAGACAGGCACTCGTCTATCCTTCTAACCAGCTATCTCTAGATACTCCGACTCGCATGATGGAATTCCTGTCACGACTATATATGTGCCTATCCACTATCTATCCATGAACCAATGAACCAGACGCAAATGCATATCTACCTGTGCATATGTATATGTACGTTCATATATACATACAAATGTGACAATCATCCAAATATCAAACAGCAGGCAAGGGTGGCGGACTCATCGTCACACGTTGTACACAACTGCATTCCAGAGCTATTTTTCAAAGTCAAGGCCTCCCAGAGATGATGAATTTCCACTGCAAAAAAAAAAACGTTTATATGTATATATATATATATATACGGCAAATGCCTGGGCTTTGCCCGGAACCGCAACCACGACAGGCAACGCATCATCATCATCATCATCATCGTCGTCGTCGTCGTCGTCATCATCATCATCATCAACACCATCATCATCATCATCGTCGTCGTCGTCATCATCATCATCATCGTCGTCGTCGTCATCATCATCATCAACACCATCATCATCATCATCATCATCATCGTCATCGTCATCGTCATCGTCATCTGATCATCATCATCATCATCATCGTCGTCATCGTCATCGTCATCG